GATATATAACTAGATGTCATGTATTCACAAAAAAGAAGCACTGGACATCTTTTTACAGCAATCTCTTGTTTCAGTTTTCAGATTACACTAAAAATTATTACAAGAAGTTGTATATAATTCTGACAATTTAAAATTTATTTTATTTCCAGTATTGTACGATAATCTTTGAAGAATACAATTTTACACAGCATTGTTATAAAGTATGAATTTCTTCGAAAATTGTTTGTAAAGAACCTTGTAATACAGAGTCATTTTATAATGTTTATAAATGCTAATTATTTAAGATTATAACTATACCGACAAAGAAAACTTGTCACTTCAGTTGTAATTATATGTATTTACTTAGTCACTGTAAGATTAAAATATAAACTTCTTAAATTTATTTCAAAATCCGAAATAGATGTTTCTTAAAAGCAATACAATTATAATTTATTTCAATATATAATAACAAATACAAAATAAAATCACAATCAGCCAAAACCAGTTTATATCACATACATTTCAACTTTTATATAAGGATATATATGATAAATACAGTTTTCATACAACTTATACAAGCTACCTAAAAGTTAATTAAACAAACATGAGATTATTTTTGTTTAATCTTATTTAGTTTTATGAAAATCGTAAAGCTAATGGCAGAGTATTTTCATTATACTATAATATGAAACACTTCAACAGTAAAATTTTGTATATTTTTATTACAGAATATTGGGGGAAAATTGGCATACATTGTTTGAGATTCATCATAAACTAATGGTGTGTACTTAAAACGAAGTGTATCATTTATACATACATAAAACTACATCTGGTAGTGTCGACTTCAATATAGATAAGCAGTCTTAAACAACGTAGACAATATTTAAAAGTGCTTCATATTATTTTAAAGTTAAATTTATATGTATTGCTTTACTATTGTTTCGACAAAAATGGATGACATTTGTACAATAACTATCTTACTTATAAACTCTGTATTATAAGGTAATGTACAAAAATTTGTTACAGAAATACATGTTGTGTTTCCAATTAGATTTCCTAAACCTTGCAGTGTAGTATGCACATGTTTTTTTTTCAAAACATTTTTCAAAACTTGGAAATGAATTAAATGTTTTTTTTGTATATTAGAATATTATAATGCATTTTCTGATTCAGAATGACTTCACTGGATTAAGTTCGATGTCCATAACACACTATGTTATGTTTGTCATAAATAATGCATTTGTGTTCATTTTCAGTCAAATAATACACTGCGTTCCTAAAATAGTCTTACTACATTATCATCTTAAATCTTTAATATGCTGTGAAAAACTGTTTTGCATAAAAAATTGTTGATATATATATATTTTTTTTTTAAATATTATACCATTAAAGACATTTTTGCACATGGTCCTTTTTAGCGAAATCTAGAAACAACACAAGAATAACAGTAAAGCACTGTTTAAAAGGGATCTTAATTGTCCAGTGTCCATTACGCACTACAAAAACCAAGATGAGGTCCACTCTAATTTTTTTTCTTATCAACTGACCACACTCTGCAACGTTATGCTGACAGTCAATCAGTTACGAGTTCTTTCTTTTTCAGTATGTCACATTCACAATAGACAAACACTGAAGATGAATTGGCTCCATTTGCTATAAAATATAGCGTCAACCCAGTCTGCAATGACTTTGGCATTTGGTTCAGGTTACGCAACATAGTTGTACTCATTTGAATTATCTTTGTCCCGCTCCATATAATCCCTATCTATAAGAGATTCAATTCGTTTTTTCAAGTCGGCAGGCTAAAAAGATATTTATTATTATGTAATATCTGTTACTAAACTACATTTAATATATGAATTAATCTGTGTTTCATTTTATACTATGTACATACCTTCACAGGGAACTTCAATTGATTGTACAATTCACTAATCAACAAGTTGTGTGTAAGTGTTTTTCTCATTTTCATAATTCTAACAATAGCTGCATCTATTTGATATTGTCTGTCCTGATAAACTCTTTCTTCTGTAGCTTTCTGTTCTTCGTTCTAAAGAAAAAAATAATGACCCGCTTAATATGAATTGATCCTAGAAAATGTAAAACTTCAACTTTTCCAGAATAATTCCCACCGTTTCTTTCATTTGAATTTGGTTTATTTTAATTCTAAATAATTTATTTGTAAAGTCTGCGTTAAACACAAATCTATCATTATCCGCGACATCTCTTCCTCTTGGATTCTTTTTTAATACCCTAGCTTTCCCACAAGCTAAAGATTGCAAAGTTCTCCTAAGTTCACCATCTTCTATATTTGTCGCTGCTTTTATGTCTTCCAGGGACAAATTATCAGAATCGTTGAACATAATTAACACTAATGCTTGAAATAGCGATACTTGAAACTCTTTGTTACCCTATTATAAAATTGAAATAAAGTGATGTAATATATATCTGGTAAGTACCATTGAGATATTAAAAATAGTTCTTATTAAACGTTAAAAGTACCTGATTGAACCATGCTTTTAATACACAATGTCCTAGAGTAGGTTGCCATTGCAATTTCCTACCACTATGTTTTCCCAAGTAAAATTTATTAAATACATCTTGGTATTGGACCATTTCTGGTGGTAATGTTACTTCCATCACTGGATATGTTGGCCAATAACCCATTGTTAGTATTGAAACAGTTAAATCCAAATTACTCGCAGATAACTCATTTTGTAAATTTCCTGCATACTAAATGATAGAAAGGATTTCCATATTTAGCAAATGAACATCATGTTTTATGCATATTGAAAGCTGAATATAATCTTTATCGTTACCTGTTTGAAGGCAATATTAATATCTTTACTGAGTTCCATATCTTTAAACATTCCTTCCAATTTACTGGTAAAACCTCCTCCACATTCTTGCTTCAGTTTCGACAGCATGGACTTTTCAGCATCAACAGAAGCCGACTTACCCACTAATAAACGCTTAGCCAAATCCTTTTTATAAAAAGCTTCAAATACATCTTTCCCGTGTATAAATCTAAACAGTACCATAATTTTATCTAACAATCTTTCTAATTCTTCCTCAGTTGCTTCCTTATTACCAGCTCGCAACTTGCAATCAACAAACTTAGCTGTAATTAAAAATTATCCATTCACCAATGTCATGAGGAATTATAAAGATACTATATTTATATAAATGTATAATAGTTGAAATTACCTATTAACTCAGCTGGCTTATTTGCTCGTTGATTAATAAAAGCTTCAAAAGCTTCTTTTAGACTATTCGCAAATTTCTCGTTTTTGTGGAAACACGCATTAACTATATTATCCATTTTATCTTTAAAATCCAAAAGTTCTTGAACCATAGTCTTATCTTTTTCTGGATCTATAACTATGGTTTTACCCTTTTTCTATGAAGATTGAAGCAAAAATTTAATTATGGTTCAAACAATCCACTTATCAGATACAAATATGGTGAATACCTTTATATAGGAATTGAAACTCAAACAAAGTTCTACAAGGCCATTCTTAACTCGACTATACAAATTATAAAGTAAAGATAAATCACTAATTCTATTCTCATCCAACAAACCACTTAATCCTTTCTGTAAAATGCTGGTAATATGCTCGGATAACAATTGTTTTTCTACTGTATGAATTAACGACCATCTGTAATTTTCAATCATCAATATTATATACAAGAAGTACTAACAACCAACGTTAAAATGATTATTACATACTTTGTAGATGCGTCAAGGTAGTGCAACAAACGTTCATTTTCTTCTTGAAGTCGTTTGTCTACATGAGCTAAGTACTCTGGGACATCATGTTCATTCATTAATCTTTGTCCTTCTGCAGCATACAATCTTTCTGTAGCTACTAGGAACCTGTAAAAATAAAAAAATTAATAAGAGAACTTATTTCAATGCACATTGATAAACAATGCTTTCAAAAGAATCATACTTAGTTTCAAAGGCATCTTGGTAAATTTGTAGATCTGATAACATTCGTAGTAATGATTTAAGAAGTGTTCTGTCTACTGTATCACCTTGCCGTTCTTTCTCTATGAGCATAAGTAACCCTTCTACTGTACGTGTCTGAACCAAATTATTCAGTACGATATATACTCTAAATAAATGTAATCCCATATCCCTGAAATTACGTTTATAGCAATTAAGGAAATATCAATAAGGCCTAATATTTATAGTCAGATGTAAACTACTTACCAAATGGACAAAATACTCGGATTTTGTAATACATATGTTCTATCCAGGTATAGAAAAATACTCCTAATCATAATCATTTGTCTACAATGCGATTGCCAACATTCATTCATCTTTTTCAAGAATATATGCCTGTCCATGGATTCTGCCAAAAATTGTTCTATATTAGCCTGAACATGAGCTTCGGTTAGCCTCGTCAGCTTTGTGTACAATGTAGATGCCATTTTGTGATTACACATATTTTCAACAGCCTGGTAAAGTTCTTCCAACGAATAACGAATACTCTTACTGGTTTGTATGGCAATTACAGCTTCCTGTAACTTCTCCCATGTTTGTTCTTGATAATTTTCAGGTAATTTCGGCTTATCTAAATAAAATTTACACTATTAGCACCCATTCGCCTCTCTGCATTTTTTATACGAGTTTTACTATAAAAAATACAAACAAACATAAAAGGAATTCAAATAATTTTATGCTCCCTTTTAAACGAGAGACATTAAAAAATACGACAACCAAAATCAAGTTTATACGTCCGATTAGAGATGATTACAAAAATAGTTTGTTCATATTTATTTTTGTATTAGTCATTCGGAAAAGAAAGAAAGAAATGAAACCGTGCAAGCGGACATCTTCAATCAATTACACAATCATTGGAATTACGAAAGTTCTGGAAACCGTACAAAAAAAAGATCAAATAACGCATCTTAAAAACATTTATCCATTTTCAGTTTTCTTGAGTCATCGGTTAGGTTATGTCAGTCTCGTATTATTAATCCTCATCAGAATGATCTTATCCTTGGCCGAATACATAAATACATGTTATGAAAGAAATGTTGCAATTCACGTACGGCTCGGTGCCAACGATAAATTATATACAGGACAAATTTCATCGCGAGTCAGTCACCAGCTGATTTTGAGGTTAGGTCGTCCCGTGATGTCGCTTACTTTTAAAGTTTTTGATGACGAGTTTTCTGGCGGTGCCTGTCTTCGCGCTCGCCAAGCTCGGTGAAATCTTATTGACGCCATTCGGGTTCCCGACAGTCAACGCCGAGAAATTGGCCCTCTTCTGCGTGTCCGTCGTGGCCGAGGCTGTGTCCGTCATGTTTTCAATACCGTCGATCCCCGTGACCGGAACGGCGGACAGCTTGCTGCGTTTCGCAGCACCGACGTTCACCAGCGCTGCGTGATCGGCGGCTGTCCTTTTCACCTGTGTTGTGGAGACCAGAACCTGAGTTCCTCCGAGCCTAGACATATGCACGCATCACTCGGTCGCCGGTCCTCAGCACTCGGAAAACAATTTTCCACCGAGAAATTCACAACCGATTCTCCCTCTACCGTTCTACCTTTGTCCCTGTGCACTCCGACAAGCGGAAAAAACTTATTTATCCACAGATACTGCTTATGACGAGACTCTTGCGAACAATTGGCGATCGCCGCGCACGCGTTTCGCGTTTACCCGGCGCGCTCCGCGTGCTTGCCGCGCATCTTAAACCGCTTATTCTTTTCTGTACATGTTTTCGCACTTTACCAAATACTAAATTTTATACTAACACAACAACTAATGCTTATTTTAGGGAATCGTGATTCTGATTTATTACATTGCTAAATATATTTTCTCATATCTTTTTTATTTATAGGCTCAATACCCTATTTTAGAAGCAAACGGCTAATAGAATATGTGTAACAGACATATTTTCGAACATGATAATTTATGTGATTTGTACATATCAAGGAAAATGTGTATTGTAGGATATTATACGAAGCGAAGTAGGAAGAATAGAATATTTTCCATTGATCATGTATTAGAAATTTATTTTATCCAGATATACATTCATTTCTCTTTGTAAAATATTTACAATTGAATAATGATACATCACATATAGGCAGAAATATTGTACCAGAATAGATTTGAGTTACTCTCACTTATGGAAAATAGAGATTTTGATCTACATTGTGTTTTAATTTATAGCCATTCGTAAAATTCCTTACTTTTGATAATATATAGGCTTAGTAACATGTTCGATACATTGATAGTGCAAAATCTTAAAATATGCAATACATTTTCATATCGAAATACGATCCGACTGACCAAAAAGATTATAAAAGTTTATACATGTGCGTGTAAAACTGGTTAACATTTCTCTACAACATATACATGAAAATATGTTGATAATTATAATTCTAAATGAAAAAATGCAAGAAATGACATGCATATTCTACGTCTTGGATAAATATATAAGTCAAAGTAACAAAGTAGAAACGAATAAAAAAAATATCTTTTATAGCATTAATCAAAGAAATAAATCTTATTTTGTTGTCCATTATATACAAATATATCGTCCATTTCGTCTATTTAAACGACTAATTTATATGTCACGTTCTCACTATGCTTAATATGCTGATAAAATGTGTGCATTCAATTTGTTAGCTTACAATACTTTCTGTTAAGAACCTACAATGTCGTTTGCAATTAAATTAATGCGGTAACAATCGCATTACCCATCACTTTTTACATACTTTGTTAGATATACTGTACAGTACTCAATCAAAAAAATACGTATGGTATCAACTATGTACCCCTAAACATGTAAATTGCTTCTGAATTGGAGATTATACATCTAAAATGCTACAGTTCTTTAAAAATTATTATAATACTAAAAGTAGAACATTTCCCATTAACTACAGGTTGTTCTTTTAGTTTACAAGAGAAGAATGATCTGGAACAATTTTATTAGATGCTTCAAAAGAATCGACCAAAAAATCCTTTCTTCTGAATCTCTTCGTCAATATTTTCGGATTTAGTCGCTCTCATAAAGATGCGATCGATATCTTTAAAAACCTCTTTACTCGATTGAGCTGCGTTAACGTAATAATGAATTCCTCGTAAAGCATAATAATCAACCAGAGGTTGAGTTTGTGTATGATATACCGCTAATCGCTTCTTCAATGCATCTGGATTATCATCAGATCTTCTTGTTAATGGCTCCCCAGTGATCTATTAAGAATAAATTGACTTACTATTTAATTCAACTTGATTATTATAACTTATTAGACATAGTTGTTCTTACATCGTCTTTCATAGGAACCTTGGGTGGAGCAAACTCTTCATGGTACGATCTACCGCTTGCAGTATGTATCAGACGGCCAGTGATTCTTTTTATTAATAAATTATCATCGATTCCAAACTCTATTACAGCATCTAATTTGGTTTTTCTTTTCTGCAGCATATCATCTAGCTATTAAAGAAAATTGATAAAATATAAATATATTTCGTATTACTTAAATGTAATGATTTTTTAAATGTGTAGTAGAATATTTCTAAGATGCTTTCACTCTTTTTTTTTGAATGTCATTTCAAGGTCAAACGATCCACTCAAGCCAAACAAAAATATAGAGATAATTATTACTGATAACAGCTGAAATTCATTTAAATGTTATTAAGAACAGATAAAAAAAACAATGGACATTTGAATATTGAACTTTCGTTATCAACTTACTTTTTGAGCTTGGGGAACACTTCTGGGAAAACCATCTAATAAGAAACCACGTTTGCACTCTGGCTTGTCCAAATTTTGGTCAATCAAGTTGACCACGAGATCATCGCTGACTAATTTACCTTCGTCCATTATTTTCTTAATTTCTACTCCTAAAGCAGATCCAGATTCAGTCTCTGCTCTGAGCATATCGCCTGTAGCTAGGTGACATACACAATATCGTTGCTTGAACAATGGAGCCTGAAGAATTATAAATATTTAATTAAAAGATACAGAAATATTTGGGCAAAAAAGCTTGATAACCATAGCCAAGGATATATGATGTTGCAATATTTAAATGAAGAATGATTGTAATATTTTTCAAAAAACACAATTTTACCTGTGTGCCCTTGCCACTACCAGGTGGCCCCAATAAAACCGCATTAATTCCTCTTTTTGGAGCTTCTTTCGGTAATTCCGGAGTTTCCTTCGCAACTGTTTCTGTTCGCGGAGCCATATTTTATATATCAAAGTTTCTTTTAGTAAAAATGTAAAATACGATCTTTCTAGATAATACTTATGTCAAAGTTCACTATCAAGAGTACATATCACTGTTCCGAACAGTGTAATTATCGAGTACCATTAATTTCTACTGAATCCTCCGTAATCACGCAACGCCGTGGGTTTTGATACGCGTGCAACACTCGCTTCATCTATCGTTCGTTTTTTAAATTACTATCGAATCGACTTGTTTCCGTTTAAAAATTTAAATTTAAATTTAGAAAATATAATTTATTGTGTAACTATTTGTTTGTTAGTATACGAACACTGTGTAAATTAATAAATACTCTTATCTTTTTAATAAATGTAAAATAATATATTCGAGGGGATAACAATAGAAGTTGGTGGAAAATTTGTTTGCCTCTAGAAATGTTTGAATTAAAGATATTCGTGTTTATATTAGTATCTTATTTACTTAAAAATTATATTTCATACTTTATTTTTATAAAAAATAATTAGTTTGTTCGATCAAGTATATTTTTCAGATATACCAGAAATCAGAATGATTAAAAATGTGGCACAAATATATTATTTCTATAATTTAAATGTATATTTATCTTATTACATAATTTTTACAAATATATAAGAAATATATCGAACAAAATACAATATTAATCATACAATATACAATATTTGTAACATATCTCAACACCTTAATTAATAAATAAATGCTAATGACTTGTGTAATTACTCATTTAATTGCAATTATTATAACACTAATCACAGTGCCATCTTTACAAAGAGAGTGAACAGAATTAGAATAAAAAAAGAAGACACTACATTTTTAATGACAACCCTATTTCTGTTTCTTCTTCATTAAAATAGCTTTAAAAATTTCTATCTCAACATTGTAAAGATACAGAAAAATGTTAGCGTTCATATTTTCTTTAAGTATGTAAAAATAAATTTTATTAAATTTACTATAAAGGAACAACCAAAGGAACCGTTCATTAAATGTTGTAGTTAATGATGTAACTACACTTCAGTTTTTGTAAATTAATGTGTGTCTTAATATTTCGAAGAAAGCTAGCATTGCTAATTATCTTATACAGTAGTTCTATTAATATTGTACAGAGCGAATATATGCTCTATAGAAGTTTGCTGCTTATCAGAATTCTAAAAGGAAGTATGTTAACATTGTTTTATTCATGTCAAAAATTATTACTATATTCGTTATAAGTTCAAAATGGAATCTTTCCACAAAGGGCGTGTATTTATTGTCTATATGTTAATTCAACGTTGTCTACAAAAAATTTTAAAAACTCGAACATCACTTTATTCACTTATACTAGAACATGTATTGTAATGGAAGAAACAATAAAAAGAAATTGTTTAAAATTTTAAGTTACATACATAGGGTGAAATGAATAATTGTACTATGTAGCATACAGCACAACTCATTTTATACTTGCTTTTCTTTAATGTTGAAATGATAAATAATTAAAATTATTTTCGTAAATGTATAACAATATTCAACTTTTATTATCATGCACATAGAACTAGTGCATATAGAACTCCTTGAATACTTTTAAAATAAATTGCAAACTGGGAATATAAAATAATAATGCACTTTGTCTGGTTAAACCCTATAACTAGTTAATATTAGGACGGCGTGGAAATGGATAAAGACGATAAATTAATTACAAAATTAATATACTCAACGTAATAACTGACATTAGCTATCTTAAGTTAATAATACCTCCAGTTCTGTATCTTACCAAAGAAAAGTGCAAAATTTTCTTTGGTCGAATATTCACATTATGTTTCAATTAAACATTGAAAATGTATCTATAAATTATATGTATATCTGTGTATGCGCGCGCGCATGGTGTGTATTTAAATTATGGAGATGCGTTTATTATGATATTCAAGTATAATCATTACAACATGAATTTATTTTAATAATATTTTTAGTATTAAAATAAATTATTTGTACTCAATATGTGTACCTTATGATCACAATAGAATTTTGTTATATATAAATAATATATAAGCTACATTTAATTAACAGTTGTCTAAGTAATATAAATTATGTAATAATGGATTCATGATTTTTACTTGTAAAATAAACACAATTATTGCACTCTATGTACCTACAAGAAAATGTTAATTCTTAACAATTTCCTAATTTTTTTCTGCATTCATATAAAGTTTTAGTACAAATTACAATATTATACACGTTTCATTATCATTAAATACTTAAGATATTAACAGATTATTAGCTCTGCTAAAATCGAAATTGCTTCTTTTACTAAAATGTTTCCTTCTATATTTTCTTACAATCAGTGTTAAATATTGCACAATACTTGGTGTTAATCTTTTATTTTCTAAAAATCTTGTGTGTATGTTATTTATTTCTTTGCAATTATCTGCTTTCACTTTATTTAAATATTTTTTAAATAAGTTATTTATTAATTACTAAAATAGTTACTAATATCAAGCTGTTTGGTCACAAAGACTTATTAACAATATGTTCTGTGTTCTAGCTATACTCATATAACAACAAAGTACTTCTACTAAGTTTTTTATAATTCATTTACAGAAGTACCAAATAAATATTTGTTCAGCATATCTCAATTTAAAAAATTCTTTGATCACTTTTCGACAGTTTGCAAATATTCTAAATTCGCTTTCTTTTCTAAATATCAAGATAAAATCTTAATACTGTTGTATTGTATTATTTGTATGAATAAACAGATGCACATTTGCAAAGAAACTTACGTATTTAAATTATGTGAATATAAAAACAATACATTCGATTTTATTTAATAACTGTACTCAAGTTTTCAGTATATGAAAAGTATTGCAAGCATTATTAACAAATTACACTGAACAAAATGATCCCAAGTCTTATATAAACTTTGGAAGTTTTGCATACGGCCAAGTGGCATGTAGGCTTTTAAGTATAGATAAATTTTATAGTTTATACTTCCATGCAAACTTTTGCAAATATGATAACAGAATTATATAAATGATTGTATTTCATTGTAGTCGTTTTTGTATTAGTATTACAGTATGTAACATTACATACTACATTTGCATTATCCGTAGCAATCTTAAATCACGTAAATGCAAATATATGTGTATATGATATTAATTCGCTATCGAAACTCGGTTTGTACAATTCTATAAATGTTATTCTCTTTGTAAGAATAAATCTAATAATCAATATATTTGTTTCATAAATACATATTCTAGTTTTTTCACATAAAGATTTTACGTCAACAAATTTTCTGGAGTGCACTTTATGTAATCAGAAGTGTATACAATTTCCATCTTATTTTCTGACATCTTATTAAAAAAATTGCCAAATATTTCTTTCGAATTAATTTTCATGTAACTTCAACTAAAAAATTTACTGTTATTATAATCGCTGAGTGATTAATCATATTAATCAAGCGCATATTGCTACGTCGAATAGAGAACGTTGCATTGAGAATAACAAATTTAATACGATGTATATAAATTACTGGTTGCGTTTTATGCAAAATTCCAAAGTCTTCCTCGTACCTTTTATATTACAAAAGCCTCCATATGCAATTTTTAATACTATAACAATCGATACTCATCAACGAGACAGTTGGGGGCTAACACACTAGGAAAAATCTAGTGTGTTAGGCGCCTGTTTCATATGGTCTCTTGGCTATTAACCGACTGAGAGCTACGCGAAGTTTTTCGATTAATTGGTTCCATGTAAGCCGCAGGTGCCCATCCTTCTATTTCAGTACCTATCAATTTTACAAACCACCAGCCAGCACAACCGACTTTAAGAAGTTCTAGATTGTCTCCCTCGCGCATAGTCACCTCCGATTGGCCAACTGCACAATAATCAGCTAATGCTATGTATCTTCCACCCTAATTGGATACAATTTTCGTATGGTGTTAACTTTATCTAACTAATTGACTAATCTACATTAGAAAGCATAAATGGAGATACATTCGTGTTGAATATTTGTCTACATTCAGTCACAAAAAGTGAGAATATTCTTCTTGATTTACACGTATCTTCATCAATACTTCTTCGTGCAAATTAAATATGAAAAATAAAGATACTTACAAGAGCTGGACCGGCATTTTCACTGAATGCATCTTCATCGTCGGTGTTACTGTTTTCTGAACTCCAAGCAACATCGTCTTCTGTTGATTGTGAAACATCTGTGATATGCGATATAACGCTGTTACCGTCCACCGAGAGTGTACGCAGAGATCCAGATACACTCCCTTGAGCTTCCCATGAAATCGTTTGTCGTAATGGTCTGGAAATATTTTATACAGAAAAGAATTAATTTTGATGCGAAAATTTGAAATTCGAAACGTAAAAATATGTATCATACTTATGATTGGTTTTTCCAAGAGCAGAATTTTGTTTTCCCTTAAGTTCTGCTAACTGAGACATTAAAACGCCTTTAATTTGACGCACCCAGGACTGTTTTACTTCGATAGTCGATGCTTGTATCGTATGAACTTCAGCTCTACCCTGAAGCCAAATTTCAAATCGCCTTGCATCACCCTTGACCGATTCCGTGAGTCCGATCTGTGACATCTAATACAAACGTATTTATTTGAGTGTAATCCGAGAATTTTCATAAAAATATTAATAAAAAGACATCTACCTTTAGATATCTCTTAAAATGGTATGTAGCTTTATTGTGAGCTTGCGGTTTACTATGCTTACAAAATATAAGAGCCTTCTCGTACAAGAAAATATGGCGCTGAGATGGCTTTAACCTGAGAAGACGTTCTCGTTTACTGCTACTCCATACACTGAAAGAGCCTTGTAATAACAGCTCACCCTGTGCATTTAAATCACCCTGAAAGTAGTAATATAAATTTTTACTTTACTATCGAATAATAATAATGAGATAATATCAAACATTATACTTACACCGAATCCAGTAATCGCAGTTTGATGCATGCTATCATTAACACATTTTAATACAACAAGCATGCAATCTAAGGCTTCTTGTAGTTCAGTACAACAAGACGGTTCATCGCTATATTTTAAGAGATCTTTTAATAATAACTGATATTTTGTTATACGTTGTACAGGTTTCAATAGGTATGCCGCAAGAGGTAATTTATGACCAAGTCTCTGTTGGCACGTTACAAGAAACTGCAGTTCATCTTGTATCTGTTCTCGTAATCTTTCCGATCTTTGGATATTTTGACAATAGTAACTGTATAGTCTGAAGAATACTTCACGCTGAAAGTGTATATACTGTTTATAAATCCATTTTTTACAATTATAAAAATCTATAATAGCCACGCTTACCCTTTGTACAAAACATAATGCAACAAGTTCTGTATTTGAAATACAGTTTTCTAAATCTCTTAAAAATGTCTCTCCATGAAAAATGTAAATATCTTCTAAATTGCCAAATAAAATATCTCCTTTGCCTACTAACGCTGGCGGTATTAAGTGAGCCATTGCTTCATTCGTTAATTCCATTTTGTACCCTTTGATTATAGAACCTAATTCAGCAACATAGATTCGTTCAGTTTCAACAAGTTCGGCCAAAACGTGGCCACGCTTTAAGCGTAAAGCTTCTATATCCTTAGATTCATTTTCTGGCGATGAAGATTCTCCTTCTATAGGACTCATCTCCATCTATAGCAAATTAAAATTACTTGTAACATAAGAGACATCAAATTGAAAAAAATAACTATTTACCTTTGGCATAGTGTTAGCTTTTTTAAGAATTCGTCCAGGCTTTACAGTTTGAGGCAGTGATTGCATTGGTTTAACTGGCTCGGGTGTAACTGTTTGAACTGGCCTTGTTGGTTTAATCAATTGTTGCTTCAATGTCATTATTCTTTTATCGCACATCAAAGATACGTCTTCTATTCTTTGCAAGACCTAATAAAATTATTTTAGAAAATGAGATATTTCGTATTAATATCACAGCAAATCTTACTATTTAGAATAAACATACTTGAGTGATTAAGGCTTTTGTTTCGGGCATTACAGAATCTTGAAAAATACATCTTGGATGATGAAATTCTTCTGCCGCTTCGATTAACTCTTGCAACTCTTGAAGTGCTTGATCAGCTGGTGTTGTGTTATTTTGTGATGCAAGTAACTCTATTCCACGTGTACACCATGTGTTTGCCTATTTATTTAATGCAGAAACGGATTCATAATTTGTACTTAATTTAAAAGAAATTCTTTTCTATATTTTTTCTGATAATATCAGCAGGTTACCTTGTCTATACGTTCCATGAGTTCTCTACACTTAGTCAACATGTGTAATCGCCTTTCTAATCTTTGACTTAAAATGGTACAAATTCTCTGTAATTCCACACACTTAGGTTCTACGACATCCGTTGGACACTGATGCCTTCCAGATAGTAATTGTTGACCAGCTGATATAACTTCCTCTGCTCGCTCTATGTCTCCCTATAAATGTATATAATTTTATTGATGTTTAACAAGAATCGAAAAAACATTAACAAGAAAACTACAAACAGTAATTGAACTTTTCTTTGTCGATTCATTGTTCATCTAAAAAAGTATTCCAAAAAAAAATGTACTATCTTACGTGCAGTGCAAAGTGAGAAATAACAATGATATTCATTCTCAAAGATCCACCATGCTAATACAAAACATGAATTAAATCCCTATTTTTTTTTAATATTTAAATAGAATACTTCTAACATTTCAAATATGCATCTCATTACATGTGATGAACGAATATTATAGAGATTTAATTCACAAACCCATAAAAACCGCTAAAAGTAATACTTTCTTTTATTTTAATATCTCAAGATATAGTAAATACAGAATTTAAATGTTGAAATACTAAATTATTATCACTGTGTTTAAAAATGTAAATCTATTACAAGATATATGTATTTTGTTGAGTGGATTGCTTACCAAGACCCAAATCCACATGGTATGCAACAAATAGGACTATCGACAAAATGAGGAAAGCGGTGCAAAGTAACATTTGTGCATGATGTGCATTATATGTATATGCGATGGCATAAATATATTCAAACCAGAATTTTTTTGTATTGTTCGTATTTTATTAAGGTGTATACTATAATTGTATTATTGTTCTAATACATTGAAGCATAATACATAAATGTGTAAATCTGGTTTGAACATTATTCCTTGCTGCTTTAAATGCATTATGAACATTCCCGAACTTAAAGTCGAAATATTGTATCATTCTTATTTTCTTAGTTGTACAGTTTCATTAATCGCACATATTCAGAATTGATACATGTTAACAGTTATTCTAATACAATAATGATATTTTTATTGTATACTAAATGTATAGCATATAAATGCTATCCTCTGTTGTTCATGAAAGAATATAATTTTTATGTATTTCTGTTACTTCGCGTCATAATTTAGAACAAATATTTTATTTAACGATATACTATGATGCAAGAATTAATGAAATAAAGATACATACTCTACATATTCTCTGAAATGCTGTTGTGTCTAATAGCAGTTGTTCAACTCTTGCTTGGGTTTCTCCGACTTCCGTCATGTCTTCTATACTTTTTAAATGTTGGTCCAAAGTTGCTTGTAATTCTCTAAAGTCAGCTTCAAATTGTCTCAAAGCTAGGCAGTGTCTCAAACGAGAACTATGATGCGACCAAAATAAGTCAAATGTACGTTCTGTTTCTTCTAGCTGAACAAGTAATCTAAACATAAAAAGTAATATATAACATCCCTTTAAATGCATAGTTATAAAATATACTGGTTACAAATTAAACCTTTCTATTGCTGCAACATTTCCTAATCTATCAGCAGTTCCCTTGCCGGTTAATTGCCGTACACTGTCCAACAATGCTTCACCATGTCTTGCAGCACTAAGGATTTCTTCTTTTAATTCATTATACTCAACTTGTTGTTGAGATAGTAGAGCCGTGGTCGCAACGGTATTATTAGGAAATTCAATTTCGGCTAGACGCCGTGTGAAAGAATCTAATGCGAGAGACACGTCTTGTGTCATTGATGAAAATTTTTCTAAACTCTAAAAATGAAAATAAACATTTAATATAAAATAATTCTACGCTATTTCTTACTACATTATGTAATCTTACAATTCTGTTTTGTATCCAAGTATGATGGCAATACGGCAGAGTACCACCAAGTTGCTCGGTTAGCTGATCCGTCTCTATAAACTCATGAAGCTCAGCAACGTTTGCTAAAAATATAACTCTGAATTTGAAATCCTCGCGAAAAAATTTATTAGTAACTTCAGAAATAGCCTTTTGTAAAAATCCAGCTGGACGTAGAACATATGCTATGTGAACTAAGCCAGGAAAGAAGCCCTGAAAAATAAGATTGAATAAATATGTTTGGTCTTATCATAGTATCTCTTATTATATCATAATTATATTTTCTAATATTTATATTTACAGAAATTTTTAACAAGACTGTTTTCACAGAATTCCACTTATCGTTCCTTCTGTCAATGATTAAATGAAATCCAAGATCAGCTTCTTGTAAACTGAAAATGATAAATCATACTTTTACAAAATTAAATTGTATAAGGTACACTAATAATTTTATAAATACAGAAAACTCACGTTGGCACAGAAGTAAGGTAGAGCATGAGACGTTGATAATCCAACTCTGATAAGTTATGAAAATTACCATTATCAGGAAAAGTAATTATAGGACAACCTTCTCGAGTTTTTCCTCCTATATACATATATATAAAACATATAATTAAAAACAAGGGCTACCAATTTAATATGTAACTTAAAAACATTAACTGCATTTAATTTAAATTACCTGCTATAATAGCGTACTGTGATTGAAGAAGGTCTGCAACATCTCGAATTGCCAAATCTCCGTTCTCGATCTCACCAGTCATACTCTCTACATCTTCTGTAAAACATAAATTTAATTGAATAACATTAAATGTATTTAATAATAGCATAATACAGATTATATTTATGCGTGTAATATAAATTCATGGAATATTATGCATTTAAAATATCACACCTTATAACATTTACATTTATAACATTTTCAGTTTTCATACTAGGGATATATATAGTGTAAATCATATAATTGTCAACTTATTAGTGAATAATCTTTATTACTGGAAAATATATTCAGTACACTTTTCAAGATACCATTAATTAATATAATTCTTACAATATAGAATTACTGTAACTGTATACAACTGGTTAAAGAAATCACTTAAAACAGGAAATTGTTCTATGATATGTATTACAATCTTTATTGACGTTTACTTATGCAATATTTACTGTATATAAATGTAAGACCTCAGAGTGCACTCAAATGACCTTGCTGACTCTAGCTAACTCAAACAGTTTCCTGCTGTACCTACAACATTTCTGCTGTAACTGTAAAACAAGAGGCTCTCAAACTTGAAATCAACATTACAAAGTATGATGAGATTTATTTTCAATAACAAAAGGAATTATTTTGAAATTGGCATAACAATTGAATTGTTTAGATTGATTATTATTTAATGTAGTAATACAAGAAAATAGATCATATAACAAATAATACTTGTAAAATATATAACATTGTAAAATGTTCTTATATATATTTTTTATCACTTCATAATGTATTTCAATTCCGTGAAGTATTTATAAATTGAAGAAGTTCAATTTATATTAATAACAAGTTGATATACTCATTAGGTTTACAAGTTTTTATTACTTATTACATTTATCAAGGATTTGAGAAACACTGTATTAAAGATTCCTTATTTCTTTGATTTACATGCTTGGAATTTAACTGTGATAAGAATTAATCCTTAAATTTATTATATACATAATCGTTATGCGTTTATTTCGATGAGAAAAGACACGTCTATAAATTGAAAAAATACAGAGAATTTATTGCGTGTATCTTTTATTACATATTTGTAATATATAAAACATTAACATAACACGATCACACATTATATTCTTAATTTAATTCTATCCAATAGAATAAAATATTTTGCAACAAAGTTTTATAAAACATGAATAGTTTGATCTATGTATATTCTTATTTTTCATTCCTAAGTACCTTTTTCACATTAAAATAGAGCATGAGTTTGTACAAAAAAAATCCTAAAATAAGCTAAAGATCATATACTCTACTATAATAGAGGAATATTATTATTGTATATCAATAAACATTTTTACGTAAAGAGTACCTGTATGATGAACAAGTACGTATCATTCTACTTTTAACAAATTTCATATTTACATAACTAATACTGCTATTTTAATAAAGAAGAATAACATTAATGTCATTATTGAACAGTTGAATAAGCAATGAGCAAATACTTATGTTTCATTGTGTGTTAAAAAGAATATAAAATTATAAATACGTCTTTTGTAAGTATTATCTACATAAATTTCTGTACTATGAAACACGAAATTCTTAGAAATAAAATTATTTCGAAAATGTAATATTCTTTTCTTAAAATAATTGTAAAACATAATAAAAAACGTCTATACATATAATACAAACTTTAATTGCATAGACAAAAACCATTGGTTTCATCACATAAACCATAAATTATTTCTTTAATATAAAGAGCAATGTTTAAAATATCGCGTAAATATTTATTGTGTGTGTGTATATATATATATATAAATATATTTTTACATATATTATTTTTTTAAATATATTCAAATATTAAATATAAAGATCTCTGTTCCTTAAATAGCATTTACTTTAGTTAAAGTAATAGGCAATGCTGGTTTATTGGCAAGAAGCCCAGTTGTAGTTATTTGATAACTCATACCGTCATGTAATTTGCTGACTGGTGTCAAGAAATAAGTATCACTTTGACCTGCCTCACTAGCAATTAATAAAGGTAATAAGGCACCATCCTCTGTTATTAAATCCGTTGACTTAGGTTCTTCATTAGTTATGTCTGTCTCCAAATCTATTTTATTACCACCTTGACTTTGAATACTTTGATTTCTAACTACAAATTCTAGCTTCGCAAATTTCACTTGCGGAAATTGAACTTTCATAAATCTACTAAAGGTAGAATATCCCATTATTTTTATGTTAGGCGATACTTTTCTACAATACTGTATGTATAAATCATACACTACTTTACGTGTAATATCAGGTGGTAAATGTAATGGTGCATTTTTTGCAACTTTAGTTTTTTGTTTCGCTTCTTGTAGTTCAATAAAACTTTTTAAGAACTCTGTAGCTATTTTATAAATGTCTAAGGAAAATGTATTGTGCGGAATCTTCCCATGATTGCCGTGAACTCGTGGTGTGACGCCATGAGTCATTAAGTGTTTCCTAATTCTTTTTATTTGATAATGTGTACAATTTTCTAAATATAAAAAAGCATCTAAACAAACTCTGCGACCTTGATACACGTATTGCGCACGCAATCTACGACGTTCTGTATGTCTTGCTGTCTCGTATGGATTTGTTAAGCATGCCATCGTAACGCCCATTAAATACATATCGTGTTCAGCCTTAGTTAACTCTGCAATATTTAGCCTATGCCTGTACACTGTCTCAGGATTTAATCCTTTGAAGCATTGGTCATCTTGACATTCGCATCCTCTCTTAAATCGTTCTAAAACTTGTATAGAACTGTCCTCTAGCTTTGTGGAATCGTAACTTGACTCTCCTTCTAGTTTAGATTTCTTCACTTTAATTTTTGTCACTGTCCTCTTTGGTTTGGGAGAAGTACGCACCATCTACAATGTTCAAATTTTTATATATAATGCAAAATGTACAACAATATTTTTTGTTTATACAAAGATTGAATATTAGATATTCACTTACTTCTTGCTTCGCTTGTGAGTATATCAATTCATCATTGACTATATATTGACAATCGGATACCTGCATTTTCTCATTATTATCATATGAAGTTCCTTTGGAATCAATCCCTGTTTGCACTCCCATTTTATTCTTCTCGCACAAATTAATATCCATACTCCACCAATTATTACTCAACAATGTGCTCACTAATACTTTCTATATATTCCGCTAAACATCAAGATATCAATGATGGAAGTGTATACTAACAGAAACATTTAAACACAACTGAAATAAAACAAAAAACTATTCGTGTATTCCGAATCAAACTATTGTAAACAAACAATCAGCTGATTACAATGTCACTTGTATGTATATGAACTAATTCTAAAATTCCCTTTAAATTGGCTCTCTTATGATTATTATAAAGTACAACTTATAAATGAATTTCGACAAACGCATCGAGATATTTATATGTATATATCTCTACGTTTCATCGAGCGAAACATCAAAAAAAAAATGCATTCGACATCAACAAGGTTGAGAATCGCTTATTCCCACGGATGGTTTTACAACTTTGATCTTTATGATACGTGGCAAGGCAAAGTTTACTTACCTTTTCTCAGCTTAATTTTTTAATTATCTTCGTAAAGTCAGTTACAGCATGTTTCAAAAGATACTGCATTTGCAACTGTGTGTTTTCGCGATACAGATTACTCGTTATTCTCAGTACACCGGTTAATATTATGAAGCACAGAGCTCAATGATATGGCGAACGTACTTCTTAATACCGCGTGGAGGGGATAACAGGTCCAGTGCCGTACGTACAGCCCGGTCTTCACGTTGCACTCGATTTAATACAGGTTGTTTCTAAAACGTATGCCTGCACTTTACTTCGGCCATTCTATTAACCGTTCGACGACCAAGATAGGTTGTCGATTATCGATATCATTAGTCTTGGAAAAAAAATGTGATTAAAAAATGAAAATTAACCCACCTCCGTTTTCTATGCGTCAGACATTTCACATATAGATTGCTTCATATGTTTCAGATATGATAACAAAATGTAAACAATCTTACCTGAATACTAAGAAACGATAAAAGGACTTAAATATAATAATAATAATTTATATTTGGTTTGTATTGGTCATCTAACTTTATTTCTATAAATATTTTATATTTCTGTGTGTATTCGATATAAAATGCACTTTGCGTGGAACAAAAATCCTACCCGTTGACATTATTATCTAATATAATAATATCAATTTTTTAGTCCTGTGAGTATCTTTTTTAATTTGTAATTACAACTGGATTCTACTTACATAGTTATTTCACATACGGTTAACTAAGTTCTATTGAGCACCACTGTGCATACTAAAAGGGTAGGGACACCCCTCCTCAATTTAGAGATGCAGACAACGGTTCTCCCTAATATAGCTTTTCGTCAATACGGTTAATAGGATACGCTGGTAAAGTTTAGTCACTTTAAGAACACCCTGTATATCGGAAAATTGTGTATCGTTGTAAAATGCCGCTGTACAGCAAAGCTTAAACAATGTTATCGGAATGGGTTGCGTAAATTTCTGCTGTTGTAAGTATTTAGACTAGCATGCGATTAACACGAATGTTACAATAAATACATTAAGTATTCTAAATACAACATACTTTATCATTAATCCGTAACATTCGAGCAAGTTCAATGATCAGCGAACATATAATCGCAAAAAG